TTTGTAAAAATACCCCGCCTGGTTGAATAATACAATAACTAAGCCTTGAACCACATTAGAAAATGTTTGTCGGACACAGTACACTATTTTAGAATGAACTATTTTTAGAATGAACATTAAAAAAAAATGGGGTTGTTACTTTGTAACTATTTATTTTTTACAAATTCTATTAAAATATATGGCTCACTATGATTACTAATCAATATATCAAATATTTTTACATATATGAAGAAAAAAAACTTGATTAGTTTCACACATGGGACTTACCCATCTGTTAATTATAAAATGTCATGAAAACAATGTATAACAAGTCAATTTTATATCATTAATTTAATTATAATAGATCCAATATAACGAAATCGTAAAGGTGGAGTCCTCAGACCATAATAGTTTTATAAAAATATTCTTCGATTAATTATTTCGTACGTTTATTTCTTTTTGTTGGACGTAATTCAGCACATTTGTGTTATGTGTCCTCCTTCTCGCACTTTTCATATTCTGTACTCTTTTTATCACGCTCGGTATTATCATTATCATCGTCATCGCCAATGTCATTATCATCGTCGTCATCGTCATCGTCATTGATATCGTCATCGTCATCGTCATCATCATCGCCATCATCATCGTCATAATCATCATCTTCAGCATTATTATCATCATCGTCGTCATCAGCTTCACTTGGAATCAGCTCCATACAAGTAGTCTCATCCTTATTAGAACTACTACAATTATCCTTTCCGCTGAGAAGTTTTTTCCACCGTTTCGAATTTATTTCCAGTTTACTTTTGGTTTCCTCACCGATTACACCAATATCCATCCAATATTTTCGAGCTTCGCTTTTTTTTCGTATTTTCAAAAGACTTTTGTGATGAAAGATATTTGATGAAAAGTATAGATAACAAAATATATAAAAATATAAAAATATATATATTTCTTACATATTTTTTCCAACTCCAATTAAACATTTCGCTGACATTTTTGGAAGTAAATGCTTGTACTTGTTTAATTCATTCTTGAGGCTTGTCATATCACGCCCGCCAGCACAAGCGAAATATTCATAAAATTTACCAGATGGACCAATTTCGAAGAGTTGTGGTCCATTCGCTTTTGTATGTGTTCCTAAAACAAGAGAACAACCCATTGGACGTTTACTAGTATCTTGAGTGAAGGTATGTACATATCCAGATGTTATCTCTACTAATGGAAGTAATGGCATTGGCCTGTTATATTCCGTCCAATGACGCGTACAGTTAAGTAGCATTCTCCTCATCAAATGTTTTGCATCTGGGCAAAAACCAAAATATCCACAACAAATAGTATCATTAATTGATTTTAAACGCTGAAGACTACTTCGCACATACAATGGATCTTTTTCTTTTTCTGCAATCAAGACAACACTGCGTTTTCCTCGCAATGCTATAATATTTTCACCTCTCTCAAGAGCTTTCTCCGCAAACGACAATTGTTCTAATCTTCCTTCCGAATAAAACTTGCAGGATACTGGGTAACACCTTAAGTTACAAAGTAGGAATGTGATATTTTTTTATATGTAAATTTTTAAAAATGTTAAACTTTTTAATATTTTAATGTGTTGTGATCGAAGAAATTTGGCGGCAGGAACTTATGGACTTGAAAACAAAATTTTGGTACGGGCTACATAGTGCTGTCTTTTTTGTTTCAATGCCTATTGATAAGATTGTCTTATTGCTATATGGTTTTGTCTCACTGAGTGTTAGTCTTTTAAATAGCAACACACACATTCCTCATTCCCTTGTACTTAACCTTCAGTTGTTCCCTCTGACCTACGTTCCATTCTCTATGCATAATGCATTTAAGGACCTAAGTGGCCATATCCTAAACTCAGTTGAGTTAGTATAGTTCTTATTTTATGAGGAAAGCCCCTTTCGTGGCCATTGATTTCTGGTATAGCCCTGTTAAGGCATCTTATTATCTCCACTTATTCCTCATTTATATGTAATGATATTGATGTATACTGATGTAAGCTATGGAGTTTAAATGTATATACTTACTTCTACATTCTTAACTGCCTTTTCACATTGTTTTACTTTCTCCTTGATTAAATTCATAATTAAGCAATTTTTTTTGAAACAGACGCTGCAAAAGTTGATTTAAATTATATTTCAACTTTTTCGTAAATTTATTATTTTGACTAAATTTTAGATTTTGGTTTCAATTAAATAAAAATCTTTTTTATTCAGTTTCTGTTCTTGCGTCAGTATTTTTTAACTGCTTTAAATTTTAGCAACTATTTCAACTTATTCAAATTTTCAATCCAGCTTAATTTTTATCTTTCAAAGTTATTTTAAAATTATATGGTTCAAAGCATACTTTATTTTCAAGAAAATTAAAACAAGCTTATAGAAATTCTTGTATATTCATTTTTTTACAAATCGGAAACCTTTCTGATCTCATCATCTCCGATTTGGCTGAAATTTTTTTTATGAATTGCTTTCATAAAAAAGCAGACCAGTATTTTGGGAAAAAGTTTTGAATTTTTTTTCTAGGAGATATGGACCCATGGGGTGTGGACAATTAGCATTGTAGACACATTTTTAATGGTCATATCTCAGGCTCCGTTTACGATAATAATTTAAAGTTTATTGCATTTTAAAAATAATTAATTGAACTTTTAAGAAATTGTTTATATTTAAGTACTAATATTAACCGTTAAATTGTAAAAAAAAATTTTTCAAATGTATCTTGAGAATTTTTATTTTTTATATTTTAATTAAATTCAGTTTTAAGTTTTATTGAGATATAAAATTTTCCGAATAACATTAATTCTTGATACTTTTAAACATTTTTTTTCTACTACATATGATATGATATGATCAAGCATATGCGTACTTTATTTCCATTAAATTTCAATATTTTTTCCTGAGATACGGGTCTTCTTATTTTATGACAGAAGCTTATAAAAAATTCAGCCAGATCAGAGATAATGAGGTCACTGACCTAAATCCGTCCAATTTATAAAAGAATGATCCATATACATTTTTCCCCCAATGCTCTGTAAAATCATAACAGTTGTATTTTTCACTATGTTTCCAGCCATCCTTAACTCCCAATGGAGCATAAAACCACAGCATTCTTTACACATTAAGCACTGTTTGCAACTTTATATATTTTACTTCAATTGCAGTTAAACATTCTCACCTTCGTGTCTTCTGTTCTTAAACACGTCTTAGTTGAAGCGCCAGGAGGCAAGATAAACTGTTGGGATTAGTAGAATTTGTTAGAAAAATTTATTAGTGAATACTTAAATGCATATGTAAATATATTTGAAGTACTTCCAGCTTTTTTGGTTGATTTCAACTACCTCTTTTTTCTTAACAGAAAGAAAAATTATATACCACGACTTATAGGTTATACTGTACTATCTGTGGAGAAAGATTGTTAAGCTAACTTTGAACGTCTGAGACTGCTAATAAAGCTTTCAACTCTTAGTTCAAGTTTAAAGAATACAATCAGATTAATAAGACCCGAACAAAAATACTGAATACGTTGTCTCGTAGAAGTAATCGTAGAAGAATAATAGATAAATCATCTGGTATTACACTGTGTATATTACAAAAACTACAGACCTACAAATTTCTACAGATGTTTTCATCACTTCTTGATCTTATGTTTAAGATAGAAGTGTGGTATCTGTCAAATTGTTTAGAATTTTCATTAAGTGAAATACCCTGTTTTAGCTTGCAACTTCAATAACTCTTGCGGTATTAAAAATTATGTTATACAATTTGTTTTAAAAGATAAGAGACTGTAAGTCTGCGTTCTTTGGCTTGTGTCTTCATTTCAAAAATGTACCCAAGCACGGTGCTTATATGGATACCTACTCACAGCATGGAGTGCCTCATATTTCATCCATGTGCGGTAAAGTTGCAACTTGGTGCTTTCACGTTGATGTTGAAAAAATAATTGTTAAAACTTTTTCGTATGTGCACAAAATATTAAAATGCAAATGTGTTGTAAGTTGAAATTCAAACAAATGTATAGCCCCTCGTCTAAGCTTTGTCTTTCGTTCGCAGAGATAAGAAGGAGCCTTGAAAGGATTTTGTAATAGTCAAAAGGTGCTGTAAGTTGGTTTAGTGCATTTGCTCTTTTATTTTGCAAAGGTTTTTGTTCTTGTGTCTTCTATTTAAAATATTAAAATGCGTAGGAGAAAAGCGTTTTATTGCTTGTAAGGATAAGAATTATATTTAATCGTAACTTTTATTGTTTTTTAAAAAGTATGAAAAAAATTTTAAATATAAAAAGTTCATTTTAGAATCATAAAAAGAAATTACAAGAAAAACATTTCAATATTTTTATTTATAAAATACGATTATTTTTATTAACTCCGAGAGATAAACAATAATGTACATTTTTCTTAAATTAAAAAAAAATAATAATAAAAATAATAATAATAATAATAACATTAATAATTTCTACACAAAAGGGTTTAAATAAAACAAAAGGGTTTGTGCTTATTGGAAAGCATTTTACTTATATCCAAAGTACTATGAAGTTTTCAGTCAACATATTTTGGATTTTTCAGATCTTAAATTTTCTAATCCATACATAGTAGCATTCTTAAAAAGAAAATAATACAATTTATTATTATGGTTTCAATTAAAAAAATTATAAGTAAATGCCTAATCAAATTTTTACTAATGCTCTAATAGCATGTTCATACTGCTTCATTTAGCCTTTTTGTTCATTAAAGCCGCTAAAGAGCTTTTATTTCAATGAAAAAATATTTTTGAATGATACTAAGTGCTAAGGAAGATAAATCAATATCACTATTGTAAGGTGACCACCCACATCTAGAAAATTAAAACAAATTATGATGGCAACCTTAAGTAGAAGTGAAGTGAATGATACTTGGAATGATACTAAGTGCTAAAGAAGATAAATCAATATCACTCAAAGAATTAATGCAAGCAGTTAAAACTACTGTAAGGTGACAACCCACATCTAGAAAATTAAAACAAATTATGATAGTAATCTTAAGAAAAAATGAATTGAAATCAGTGTGGGCGTGTTTTAATAAATATTTATTATTCCATTTTATACAAATACTTTGTAATTTCGATGTTGATTACATATTAATTGTAGTTTCACTTGTAACTTTCACTATAGAATACTTATAGTCTTTCATACTTATAGTCTTTCAAGTCTAAAATTTTTTCTTGTGAATAAACAAATGGTGATGAAAGTATGTGTCAATAAAGTTTTCCGTTTTCATTTGTTCAAAATCTTGTAACCAAAGAAAATCTTTTGGAATAAAGTACTTATGTACATATGTATATAGTTGAACACAAAATACAAATATACATTTTTAAATTTTTGCATTATTTGTGTAGTATAAAATGAAATTATTTTCATTGAATCATTTGAACTTTATTTCAGATTTACATTTGAGTTAAGATTTTATGGGTCATGATTGCATAGCCCTTTTATTAAAAACAAATCGCTGGATTTTTATTCAACCTGACATGACCGATCATAAAATGTGTTTCCATTGCAGAACTTTTGTAGTTCTTCCAATGCATATGATGAACAAAAGTGTCATATAAAATCAACGAAGCGTTCAGAATTTAGTTTCAGTTCTGAGCAAAAGAACATAAGCGAGAACGAAAAAAAATTTATTTTTAAAAAATCCAAA